GCAAAACCTAACAACAAGAATTCTCTCCACATAATCAGGGAAAAAAAATTTCAGGTTAAGCTAAAGCTGTAGAGATATTTCGGAAGGTCCTAAATACCAAGAACCATGCTATTAGTTAAGAGCTTCACAGGCGAGCACCTTCCTGGTGTTACTAAGGGGGTTAATAGATAAATATTCCACTAGAACTAAATTCTGATATATATGATAATAGACACAAAGGATTAGATAGCGCCGTAATATAGTTTTCTTATCTTTCTCGCAGGAAAAAAAAAGAATAAGTAAAAATAGCTTCCCGGACTATAAAGCGCTTTTCCTGAAGGTAGCGGAGGAAAAAAAATAAATAAATATAAAAAAAAGATAAGTAGAGGAGGAAAAAAAACAGGCAGAGGAGGAAAGAAAATAAACAGAAGAAAAAAAGAAATAAAAGAGGGAGTATAACTAACCGACCACTTTTAAAGAGTTTATCTGATATTATCATAATCTCCTTTAGCAGCCGCTACAAACTAAAGCTCCTTCTCGCTTAACAACAGGCAAAATCCCTTCTTCTACCGGAAAATACTGTTTTATACAGTTCCGTCCATAAACAGATTGCGCTACTATATAACAAGAAATTTATGTGTTAGTTTGCCGCTACCTACAGCCTACTAAAGATGTTTTATAGCTATTTATATCCTTAGTTAAACTAGAGGACCTTAGTTGGTGTTTTGTGCTTCATCTGATTAGCAGTAAATAAGATCTTAAAAGTTACGAGCGATTTGCCGTTAAAGATCATATATATGATATAATTTTGGCGCTATGCAAGATACCTGCTGCTCGTGAAGAATTTAGACTTGGTGATAGTATGTAATTTAATAACTATATTAATTTGCTAGAGATCAAACAATCTAGATCAGACACCCCACTATCTAGGCCCGATTAATTCTGTATCTACCGAGTTGACGGTCAATCAAAAGCCTTACTAACCACTATTAAATATAAACCCTCTTATAAACTGTCAGTACAGACTATACAGGAAGAATTCCGACTGATAGAATTTTGGCAGAAAATCATTAAACCAGACACTATACCAAAAAATAGGCCTGAAAAACAAAGATATAATACTGCACGTCTAGCTAGGTCCGTGGCCGTTTAATAATTCCATAGGATGATATAATATAGAGTCAGGTGCTCTTCTATCACGAACGGCCTCCTAGATATGCAATTGTGGGTGCCTTTTAATAATCTAACTATATTATACTACAATATAGGCGGGCCTAATATTAATATTCGGGGACCGCGGACCAAAGTTAAGAGGGTTTTATATTTTTATTTAATAAGCTTTCACACCCCTCTTCGTGATCAGACCTAGCAGAATGCCGCTAAAAAAAAACTACTAAAATAGTATACAAGTTTTAATAATAAGTATTCCTAGATCCCAGCGGCCGAATTACCACTGATTATAAATATAGACTATACTAGCTCAGAATACACTAATCCTAAGTAATCTACCTCTGAGTATATACCTTTATCGCCTTTTGCGGGATCTCCCGCCACTAAAGATTATTAAGTGCCTACACGGGCGGCCTCTGGTTATATGTTTTTATCCGACTAGTATCTCCAAAAGGATTTATCAGATTCTAAGATAGATCTTGCCGTATCTGCTGGATAAAAATATAGGTTTAGCTAAATTATATTATCCTCTCTAACCTAACAGCTTGTAACTTAAACAGATTCTCGAGGGAACTAAAATGGGTAATCTTGTCCATATTTTACTTAGTATTATATATAAAAATGCCTTCTAAGGCTACAGCAGGGCGGCCCACTTGACCCTGACTATCTAAATATAGAGCTGTATATATTTGGCGGAAGAAATAATAACCACCACCTAATTAACACAGAAGTCTTAGCAGAAAAGCTTAAGGCGCAGCTTGATCAGGATCTAGATTATAACTATATTCTAACAGGGCCTTATAGGTCTTATAATACACCATATAAGATCATATATGTCATATATAGGTATACTATTATCGGCAAAGGGATGACATCATAACTTTAAAATAAGATATTATATAAAACAGATATTTATTATGTCCTTTAATAAGCCCAAAGATTAGTTATTCTGGTCTTTCTTAGAACTATTAATCTAGCCCAGATCTATTTCCTTTATAGCGCGGGAGAAATCTATTATATATTTTTTATAGGCTGGAGGGGCGAGGGCATAGGCTATACAAATCTTAACAAGACTATTTAGCGTGCGATTTCTTAGTTAATTAAGGAGATTTACTTTTTAGGCATCCTTTACCAGGATTTCTGACCGGAAAATCTTTTATAGAATACTAAACTTAAACGGGTCTTAATTATTAATTTCTATTAATATATATTAGATTATTAGCTAAAGCACAAGTGGCCAGACTCTCTCAAATAATACTATAGATTTAAAGAACATGAACTTAAAAGGTTATATATAGTTTAAGTAAAAGCCACTGGAGATTAGGCTGCAGCTATTCTACTTATTACTACTAATTATATATAGTATTAAGAAGTACCAGAAGCTTCCTGCTAAATATTAATATAAATATTTTATATTTTGCAAGAGCATAAATATTAATACAGGGTGTATGTATATATATTTATACGCTGACCCCTCGCCATAGGCGATATGTAGGGTACTACTATCTAATTATCTCTTTAAATACATCTGTTTACTGTAAATTATTTCTTTCCTGACAAACTTAGACTACCCAGAACCAAAAAAAAATCCGTAAAGCAAGTATAAGCTCTTAATAATATTAGTACTAGTCTAAACAGAACTATACCTGATATGGTCATTTAACCCATAACAAGCGCTTGACTTCTTATTAAGTAAAAACTGAGCAGATATATTAAATTATAGCTAAAGTTTTATCTTTGTAAAGATCTCAGTTTTCTAGTCCCTAATATCTTTTATATACTATTGTACTTGTTCTTGTATTTAGTCCTTATATTCTTATAAGTGCTACTTTATTTCTTTAATATATTTATTAGCTATGATATATATCTTGATATTACTATTATTAACTTGTTCCTGAAATTCAGCTTCTTTCTAAGTATATATATTATAAACCTTATCACAATACTTTATTACAACACAGTCAATATATTGTGCAAGCCGGTACTTAATTATCTTATTAATATATTATTTAAGCTAATATTTAATTATTATATCAGCCTCAGAAGAGCTGGTTATAGGCTTGAGTTCGCGGGCTAAACAGTAGTCTATATCTTTCGGTATAATAAATAGATGTTTGCGGCCGGATTAAATTAATAGTCTACAGATCAGATTATTAGAAACACCACAGAGCTTATATTTAAGATACACGAGTTTCTAATACTCTGTTTAACCAGGGAAAGAAATATACCAAAAGTAAGTCAGGCGGATCAAGGACAGTGATCAGAAAGGGGCGCGAGTACTTAGCGTGTTAACTTCAGTTAGAGAGCCTATTAGTTAAGGGGATAAAAGGCGCAGTATTTTTTGTCTTTTATAATTAGATAATATTAACCGTAGGTCTAAATATTATTATTAAACTATTATATAATATATTATAGAAAGATGAGAAGATACCTCTGTAGTGTTTTCCTACTACTTATTTATAATATGTAGGAGTATCCACCTGCTCAGACGCGGACTCGGGGTAATATAGGGGTAGATTAGGCGATACAGTAAAGATATGTTAATCTGTCTTTTATATATTATAATAAGCAGTATTAAAAGGCACTGCTTAAAGACTTCCTTTCTATAAGGTATAAGAGAGATCTTTTAGCTTATTAAGTTAGTTATTCTTAAATTGTCGTTCAGAGAAATATAGATAGAAAAATTTAGATTAACAGATTTTAGTAAATGAGTGAAACTCCAAATCTCCTAGTATAGCGGGTATTAGAGAGTCTATCCCAGATAGACTTAGAATAATACCGACTGTGGTAAGTATAAGACTTAGTGTTAACACAGCTAAAACATTTATAACAGGTACTGGGTGTAAGGAAAATAGACAAAATAAACAGAGGGAGTTGTTACTTTTCTAAGCTAAAGTATATTTTTTGATTTATTTTAGAGGGATTATTAAACTTACCTGGGATCTGCTACTCGAGTTAGTAAGATTTATTATAATTAACAGTAAAATAGATGCTTAATTGGCAGTTTAATTATGCATGCTAATTTAGCTATATAAAATATAAAGGTGAATAATACAGAAAATATTATGATAGGGTGCGTGAGCAAGGACTTTTAAAACCTATAGTTAGTTTTGCGAAGTAGTATTTATTCTGTTATTATAAGATTCACTGTATTAAAATAAAAACCCTTAAAGAATCGCGTAGTCCTCCTATCCGGGCTTTAAATGATATTAAGCAGCCCTGACTCCCATATAACATAAATAAATAAGAAAAATAGAAGAATAAAATATGAACTCCTGAGCCTAGTCACGAGTGTATATTTAATCTAAGCTTTATAAGAGAGAGTAGAGAGTCTTATATAAACACAGGAATAGCAGGACTGGCTTCAAGGGCGACAAAGAATAAATACAGAGATACGGTCTGGTTACAAGTACATGCCTAATCTAAGCTCTATAAAAGAGAGCAGAAAGTCCTATATAAATATAGGAATAACAGGACTGGCTTCGAGAGTAGCAAGGGGATAATATATGGGATAGAGATAGCAGACAGAGAGAAGAAAGAAGAGGACGAGGATAAAACAAAAAAGAACAGGAAAGCGTGGGCGGAGAGATATGTCCTGTGACTATAATCTTGGGCGTATTATTTATTATATCTATAATACAATTATACAAGCAAACAAGTCTTTTAGAATACCTATACTAATTACCCTGTTTTCAGCTAGACTGGCTAATACTTGAGTGGTCACTAATAAAACTTCTTACTAATCATCAATATTCAGAGAAGGTAATTAGTAGATAGGACTAAATCTCTGTTAGGGGGTTAATATCTATTTGCGGATCTGACCAAACTCTAGCATAAAAGATTTAGCAGTACTAGAATTCGAGCTTTTCTTCCAAACTCTAAAATTGACTTGTTCAAAATCAATAATTATTACTTACTGTTTGCTCCTGCCAGGCTGGTCTACTAATATAAAGTTAGCTAAATTCTGATTATTATATTTAATGCTGTAAAGTGTTAAGGTTTCCATGGCATCTAGAAGGCTATTATGTAGCTTGTTCTTGTTTATATGAGATTTACTGTGTGCGATGTCCTACAGATCTTGTCCAGTAACGGCTGAAAGGACAAGTGCTGGCTCTCTATTGCTTGGTGGCTCTGTCGAATAGTTTGATGACTGCTGGGCCGGGGCTAGGTGATAGGGAATCAGCGGCTAAGAAAAGGTCAATTAGTGTTTAAGGGTCATCATTTGTAACAGTTTCTTTATCTAATTGATGGATGCTTTTAGGGAACCCAGGACCTTTAGGGTTATCAAAAAGCTCGGGGAAATCAGAGATATTAGACATGCCGGACTGGTTAGGGAGTTCAAGGTCTTTAATATCTTCAATATCTTAAGAAAAATCAAGTATCTTAGATATATCAAATATTACTTTATCTTCAACATCTTTAGGGAAATCAGGCAACTTAGGGGCTCGAGAGATTTCTGAGCGACCAGCAAGTTCAGGCACATCAGGCATATCAGGCATATCAGGCACGTCAAGTATTTCTTCATCTGCAGTATTAGTTGCTGTAAGCAGGGGTTAGTTTATTAAGTAATATCCATCTTCCACACCTCTATAGAATTCTTCCCAAGTTCCTCTTCTCTTTATTTACCACGACAAAAACATACCCTGACTAACATTCTTGTAATGTTTATAGGGGACCTTAATTTTCAAAAGAAACCTTCCTATTATTAAGCCTGTTTTATGGTCCAAACATCCCGGTCTGCTTCCTAAAATTCGATGTAGGGCCGGGCTAGTTCTCTGGAAAGATAACATGTTCTCAAACTGTAACAACTCCTCGATTTCAGGGATTTCGCGGGTAAGCTTCAATAAAGTACTCGCTTTAAACGAGCAAACGATTGCTGAGTGATGTGCTCAAGACCACCATTCACCTCGATGGTTTGCCATTGCATATTATCGATACCCCAGATTGGGGATACTACCCCACACAAGATATTCCGCGGCCCTGTTATAGAATTTGAACTTGAGTTTCAATGTCTTCACCAAAGTATAAGCAGAGTATATCAGTGCATTCAGCTTCTTTTAGTTAATAATTAAGATGATAGTGTCTTCTCTATTTCGCAAGGCCTGATATATTGGCGCTAATATTATCCTAGATATTAAGATAAATGGGGAGAGGTTCTTTAAGATTTTAACATAGTTTTCTATAAATCTATGAAATTCCCCTTGCGGGAGTTTATGGGGATAAAAATATTTAATATTTTTAGCAAAAAGTCCAGCCTAATAAAACTTTCTCAAATTAACCCCTTGGGAGTTGATATTTAACTATTAATACAGTAGAGGTGGCAGTTCGCCTAAGATTTATTAATCTAGATATATATTCCCCTCTTAGAAGCAAAACAAATATATCTTTTCGCCTGCTGTAACAAGTATAGGGGCTTGGGCTTCATAGTTTTCATCAGTCCTATTAGTTTTGTCTGTCAGATAAATCTCAGGGGTATATACCGGCTGCTGGTCAGATTAAACTTAAGATTCTCTTACAGCTTCAGCTTTAGCTTCAGGCTGAACTATATACTGTTTCTATGTTACTATTTGTCTTAAATAGATTATTTTAATTAACTTATTATAGTATGCTTAAGTCCCTGTCTGGGTGGTTAAGCTTAGTAATTCATAGTGTTTATGTTATTCTTGTCTTTCTCAACAAAATAGATGTTTAAATATTAAATAATCTGTTTAATTCTCCTGATAATAGAATACCAGGGCCTATTACCATCTTTTATAAAAAATAATAAGTAGACAGCTCCCCACAGATTGTCTCCAAAGCATCTTATAGTAACCTACTAGGTATAAAGTATTTCCCATAGAATATTAGTCCTATAGCTACTCTGTCTTATTTCAGCTTTAAAGAAAGTGTTAAATATTTTTATAAAGGCATAGTTATCTTTCTGGAAAAATTTAACCATACAGCAAAGGAACAGACACTGCTGGGTAGTCTAGTAATTCTGTGGTCTGATAAGATCCATAGTTAAAATAAGATTAAAAATCAATATAAAAGGATTATGATTTATATATAAAGGAAATAGGGATCTTAATAAAGATTCTTAAACAAGGTTAAAAAGAATGAGCAGTGCAAGGTGAGGTGAGAAGCTGAGATTGACCGGGATGAAAAGAAAGGATTCAAGTCTACTTGCAGTCAGGTAAAGCAAGACATGGTTTCTGTCTAGTGTTGCTGCATAGGATTGCAGCCGTTAACACTAGCCAGTGAATGAAACAGAGGTAACATCATGCGAGGTATTGATTGAGCGACAGCAAAACTAGTCGAGGTCAGAGGTCAAGAGTGAAATAACTCGGAGAAGTGGGATTATAGTTGTTTCTGGTGAAGTAAAAATATAGAATTAAAACCCTCAGGATCATTAGGTGTTACGGCAACCATTAGCTGACAAGAGCCTCAGCGGTTAATCTCCGCTGTTATCACGAGAAGAAGAGGTCGAACTCGAGATCCAAGTCAGTGAAATAAATAAATCCCTCCATGCCTTTAATCTTGAAGCTGGTACTCTATCCAGAGCCCAGGGGCAACTTATGTATACCAGGCTGATAGTTACCTAGACAGATGATGGAGAGAAGCTCCAGTAAACTTCTACTTTTTAGGCTAAGAAAACTAAACTTATTTTAACAGCCTAAGGCTCCCTCAAGCTTTTTTAATAAGTGAAAAAGCAAGGTTAAAAGAGAAAATAAATTTCTTGATTTATTAATAACATAAATACGTCTTCGATCAAGGTAAGACCAAATTAAGCAGGTGTTTAACAGGGATATTATAAAATTATAACCTGCAAAAATAAAAAAAAAAAAAAAAATAAGAAGATAACAATAAAAAAAGATGAACTTATTAAGATGTGAGTGGTCAGAAAGGTTAGCGACTAGTTCTGCGTTCAAGCAAATAATAACTGGATGCCCGCATGATGCGCTCGCTGCTGGCGCACTCGGAAGTGGCAGGGAGAGATAAGAGGTGAGAGGTGAGAGGTGAGAGGTGAGAGGTGAGAGGTGAGAGGTGAGAGGTGAGAGGTGAGAGGTGAGAGGTGAGAGGTGAGAGGTGAGAGGTGAGAGGTGAGAGGTGAGAGGTGAGAGGTGAGAGGTGAGAGGTGAGAGGTGAGAGGTGAGAGGTGAGAGGTGAGAGGTGAGAGGTGAGAGGTGAGAGGTGAGAGGTGAGAGGTGAGAGGTGAGAGGTGAGAGGTGAGAGGTGAGAGGTGAGAGGTGAGAGGTGAGAGGTGAGAGGTGAGAGGTGAGAGGTGAGAGGTGAGAGGTGAGAGGTGAGAGGTGAGATGAGAGGTGAGATGAGAGGTGAGATGAGAGGTGAGATGAGAGGTGAGGTGAGAGGTGAGATGAGGTGAGAGGTGAGGTGAGAGGTGAGGTGAGAGGTGAGATGAGAGGTGAAAGGTGAGGTGAGGTGAGAGGTGAGATGAGAGGTGAGAGGAGAGGTGAGGTGAGAGGAGACTGAGGAGTCCACATCTCCGAAATCAATGGTATCACTGTGATCATCTCTGACTAATGAAGAGAAAAATGGCTGAATACTGGGTAGCCGGTAGAGGCAGTCACCGGGAAGTGGGTCTGCCGAGTCTCCTTCCTTGTCGTCTGACAAGGAAGGAGACTCCTGAATGCGTATGTCTTCCAACCTGCTGTTGGGTAAGATGTAGGACAGTGAGAAGCTGATGAGATTAAAGTAGATAATTAAGATATTACAGAAGAAGTTAATAAAAAAAAAAAAAAAAATAGTAAAAAGAAAGATTATAGGGGTGGTCCTGGCCCTGCAAAGGCTTTATCACCACTGCTTAAAAGATAAGCAGTGTCTCCAAGCGCCCGGGTCTCTAAATTAGTAGTAATAAATTTACTATCTTTGTCCCTGTTTGTTTCTAAGACTTTTTGCGCTTACTTATAGATATTATAATTAGTTTTCCAGCTTTAGCTAAGACAGTTAGTGCAAGATTATATAAAATTTTATCTCTAGTTTTTGCTGTTTTCAAAATATCTTTATATATTGTTTTCTCTAGATCTGCTACTTTAACTATTTTAATTACTAAATCTAAAGTCAGTTAAATCAATTGAATTTCTGGGAATAATAGTAGAGGCAGTATTAAGGCTCCTTCCTGTGCGGGCCTCAACTGTTCTCTTATAGCATCATGTAAGGCCTATATTAAAATCATGTTAGCAGCCCTCTGGGGTTCCATCTGAGCCAGTAAGGTTGTTCTTAATGTGAGATTAGATAATCCTTAAATAAAGGTGTTTACCAACAAGATAGTCCAAATTACATCAACAGGCAGAGTATACTGTATGTCCAGGGCTTAGTCTATATACTCCTGAATAGTTTTATCGTCCTAACACAGGGTTATAAGGCACTGGACCGTGCTTTTTATCAAGTCCTCTCTAGCGGGAGGGAGGTATCGAGCCCGTAGATGTTCCACTAAGATCGTGGCATAAATTAGAGCACTCTATCTTTTAGGCCCATAAGTATAGCTGTCCACTTTGCCTTATTACGTTGTGCGTCCGTTAAGTCGGTTTTGAAATCCCAAGGCAGGATACACTGTTTAAAATATAAGTTAAGATTCTCGCCCTAGGACCCAGAAAAAGTCAAATTATAATTAAAAAACATTTTTCTGATTGTCCAGGAGGAAGAAAACTAGTTAATAATGAAGATTATAAGGGTATAAATATAAGGATGATGATAATAAGGTAGTCAAAAAAAATAATATTAAGGGAATAATCATACTGTCAAGTGTGCGCGAAGTTGTTTGGATGTTAATCCAACGGGGATTCGGGCCCTAAAATATAAGCTATCAAGCTAAATCAGATAAATGAGTAGAATCATTAAAGCCATTAATAATAATAAAGAAAACATAAAGAGATAGCCCGAAGGCAACAATAGAACTTCCTATCGATCAGCACCTTCCATCTTATCATCTAAATATCGACACTGATTACTGTCTCGGCATATGAGCCTCTTGGTTCAGAAAGTTCAGAGGGGAAACAATCACCGTACCTTGCTGGGCTATCTATTGTTTGGTAGCTCTGTTGAATAGTTTGATAAGGCTGGGTAACGGAGAATCAGCCGCTGAGAAAAGATTTGTTACTGTTTCTTCGTCCCATTGATAGAGGCTTTCAGGGCTCAGAGAAATTAGAGGTGTCAGATCAAGGAGTTCAGAGTCTTTAATATATTTAAAAAATCCAATCTTCTTAACTAGAAGAATCAGGTAACTTAGGGGCTCAGGAGATTTATAAGTGACCAGCAAGCTTAGATATCAGCATTAAGTATTTCTTCATCTGCAGTATTAATTGTTAAGTAATATTCATCTTCTATACCCATGTGGAAGTCTTCCTAAGCTCCTCTTCTCTTCACACCACGAATAAAACCCTGGCTAACATTCTTGCCATACTCATAGGGGATCTCAATTTTCAAAAAAATTAAACCTGTCTTATAGTCTAAACCTCCCGGTCTGTTTCCTAAAATTTGATATAGGGCCAGGCCAGTCTTTTAAAAAGTTAATATAGGAGTTCCTTTGGTAAAGAGCCCAGCTTCTTAAATTAACCCCTTGGGAGTCAATATTATGGCAGTTTATTTATGGAGATTTATAGGTCTAAATATATATTCTCCTCTTAAAAGTAAAAAATAAAAAGTTTTATATCTATTATAATAAGTACAGGGGCTTAGGCTTTATAGGTTTCGTAGGTTTTGTTTATCTGGTAAATCTCAGGGGTAGATGCCGGTTGCTGTCAGGTCTTGCTATATGCTGTTTCCGGGTTAAAGTCCAAATAATAGGCTGTTTTAAATTGACGTACTGCTGCAGCAATATCTCCATTAATTCCTGAATGTTTGGGTGGTTGAGCTTGGTAATTCGAGGTGTCGATGTCATCCTTGTCTTTCATAATAAGATGGAAATCTAGGCGTTGAGCAATCTGTTTAATTCTCCTGATAACAGGATACCAAGGCCCTCTATCTTTTACCCCACAGGTAGTCTCCAAAGTGTCTTATGGTAACCTATTAGGTGTGAAGTATTTCTCACGGAATATTAATTATATAGCCGCTCTCTCTTATTTCAGCGTCAAAGGGGTTATTAAATATTTTTATAAATATATAGTTATCTTTTTAGAAGAACCTAATTATATAGCAAAGGAACAGGCGCTGCTAGGTAGTCCAGCGGTTCTGTGGTCTGTTCCAGGTAATATCTAGGATAAAATCTATAGTTAAAGAACCTCATCATGCCGTATGTTTTTGCACCTGCTATATAGAGAATGAATAATTGTCTCTGTTTTAGTTAGGATATTCAGATTAATTCCAGGTGAATCTTTATCTCTGTAAAAACGCATGTCTTTGCACCTGCTATAAGGTATCTAAAGTTAATTTGTTGTTGATTAGATTCCTTATAGTTATATAATAATACTCGAAGGCTGCTTGAGAGTGTTGGTTGGGCATAGTGGCAGATATACTGCCTGGAGAAAAGTATAAAAATATATGCTTTTGTATCTACTATATGGTGTTTAAGATTATTCTGCAAGGTATATTAGTAGATGCTTTTATTTGACTAGAATTAAGTTGCTGGCTTACAGAGTTCGAATCTGTAAGGCGTGGAGATTCTAGAAGAATACTTTGATGTATAGTTAAGACTAGATATATATTTTTGTATCTGCTGTGTGGAGTTCGAGAGCGTCTGTAAAGGTATAGTTGAACCCCCCCACGTGGGGGCTTCCTTTTGTTCCGGTCGATAAGGAAATAAAGTATTGAAATGCCTGTTTTTCAGCTGGGAGTAACGCATCCCTCAGGGGGCAGACGACTAGAAACCCCGGGATACGGGCAATCGAGTAACCAAACGATCGAACAAGGTAGGAGACGAACAGGGGATCGAGTAACAGAACGATCGAACAGACGATCGAGTAACAAAATAATCGAACCGTCGATCAACCAACGGGGAATATCGAACAAATGATCGTGTAACTGAACGATCAAACCCCGAATGATGTATTAAACACTTTCCACGGCTTTATCTGGGCTATATAAATGAATGGCAAAGGATGCGAGGTCGCTCTCTTCACGGGCAATGGGACCACAAATCGAGTAACAGAACAAACGAACCACCAATAGTGGATTAAGCACTTTTGCTCCCGTGTTATTGATATAACAACATGTTAAAATACTCGAAGTCACTATCTTCGAGTAGTGGAAGCAAGAATCGAGTAACAAAATGATGGAAACGGGTTGTTCAGTGAAAATGCCTTGTTAAAAAGAAGAATCCTGGGTCCCATGCTAATAATTAAACAGGTAATTGAGTAATGAAGTGATTTCCAAACAAAAGCTCGTTAGAACGAGCCACGGCGCACCTGGGGCCATCGAGGAACAGACAATCGAATCGAGACGCTGAGAAAAGGCCTCGTCAAAAGGCAAATCGAACAGGCAATCGAGTAACTGAACGATCGAGCCAAAGGTAAAGAAACAGGGCAACATGCCAAAGGCAGGATAGAATAATCCAGGTCGATTTGATCCCGGGACCATGGAGTGTCCATTCTTTATTCTGTGGCCCTAGACGAGGACTGTTCCAGTCCTCGTCTAGGGCCACCAGTAAAGGAAACCACAGCGTCAAAAAACGGAGTAAAAACGCCGGGAAAAGCGGAAAACAATCGCCAAAAGACGCAGAATAAGATGATGTCTTTGCACAGGGGGGAGCCATATATAATATATATGGCCAAACAGGCCCACGCCCCTGGAGGGGTTTTAGTCAGGTTATATATAATTAAACAGGCCAACGAGGCAGTGGTTAAGGTAGTATAGGAGAAAAAAATAAAGCAAAATAATAAAGGTGATGAAGAAGGGATTAAATTTAAGTAATTTTAAGCATTTTTCGCAGTGAATAGAACAATACAAAGATAGGGGAAGAATAATATAGTTATTCACTATGTTTACCGTGAAAATTAGAAGATTTTAACAAAAGTTTATTAATTTTATCGATGGCACGGCGTTTACAGCAAAAAATACTATACTCGGCGCTATAAGCAAAGAAAAGATCAAAATACCTTAAATTTCACGGGATTAAGAGGTTTAGTAAGGCCATCTGCAGGATTCTTGGTTGTATCAACCCTAGAGAATATTATAGCCTTCTTATTATAAAGATCTTTCATGAAAAAGTATCAATTATCAAGCTATTTTATGGTAGTAACATAACCAGATTTTTAGATAATTATTGCAGTATTATCAGAATCTATTAAGATAGGAATTAGCACTAAAATATTATCCGAACCCTCCGAATCCTTCTATATTAATAAAGTAATAGCTAATTTCTTAATCTATAAAGCCTCCTTTACCGCGCGGTTAAAAGTAATTAACTCGGCGATTATAAAAGACGGAGCCACAATAGTCTGCTTCTTCGCGGCCCACAAAACCGGGGATCCTGCGTAAAAAATAACATATCCCTCAGAGGATTTGCTATTATTATAGTCCTGATATACTGTATCTATATAAACCTCCAGACTAACAGTGTGGACAAGGCCTAAGGCAAGATTATAGTAATTCCTGTTGACATATCTATATATGGATTTGTATGCCTTGTAGTCATTATAGATGGCTTTGCTGCCTTCTGTTGAAGATGTATTAGGCAATAGGTGATATTGGGCTGTGTTCTTGTTAACAGCCAGTTCAATGACTCTGTTTTCGAGAGATAGTCGTTGCCAGAGACTTCATCAGAAGGAGTAGATGATAGCGTAGCCTTCCGGTACGAGGGAGACATCGGGATAGGATTCCCACTGCATGTATTCATGTTCGCTCGATCGAGAATCATGTCAATAAACGAGTTCTGGGAGATAGTAATAGTGCCTTTCTTTCTATCACGATTGATAGAGCTTCCGAGAAACCTGGTGGGTTCACCTATATGCTTACATTTAAAGGAGGTAGAAAAATTATTATAGAATATATTAATTCCGGAAGTTTTCTTTATGGCAATAATGAAATTATTAACATAAGAGATAATAATCTTAATATTACCATCTCTGACCTGTATATAAAAACAGGGGTCCTCAGTTAAGGAGATAAAGCCTATAGACTTCAACTTCTGATTAACTGTTTTGTTCTATAGATGGCCTGCTTGATGTAGGCCATATATCACTTTACGTAAATAACAGAACTTTTTGCCTTTAAGCTTAAATCCTACCGGTTAAATTATATAGATGTTCTCCCGGTCTATTTCAGAATAAAGAAACATGGTGATAATATTAAATTACTCTTATTTAAGATTATAGATCAGGATAGCTGTTAGAGTCATCTTTATGGCTATATTAGAGACTACTAGTGTATACACAGAGTTAAAGTTAACACTGGAGTATTATATATTCCCACAAGTAACCTATCGGGCCTTAAAGCGGAGAATTATGCCATTTTTATCCTTCTTGATATCAAAAACCCACTTTCCAAAGAGGATCTTGGAGCCCTTTGTGTCTGCTTTGGCAACAAATTCGAACGTGCCATTATTAAAGATCGTGTCGAGCGAGGCCGTGTACATTACTCTGACAGGCTGTATGAAGAGGGGAGCCGACCAGCGCCGACTGTATCGTCAAAAACTTGAATTCAATACGAGCGATATTCTGAGGTGAGAGTGGTTTTGCTGTGTTGCTAGGAAAAAATGTCGGGACAGGCCGAGATATGAATCCCTGAACCGCCCGACCGCGATAAACACAAAAATTTATTATTACACTCAGATTCGAAACCTCATTCACCCCTACGAAAACAAAGTTCCTTCCCAGACCCTAATGCCAAGAGACTAAAATAGATCATGATGTCATGGGCTGTAATATATGCAGTATCCGTCCCGTAACATTATATTACATCATGTGCAAGTTGGTACGAGCAATACAGGTTGGTGGAATCTACTGGAAGGTTCCGTCTTACAGTCAGTGATCAGGGGATCATGGTATAAGTTCTTCCAATTTCCCACACCCTCCTCTTGAAAAGAGATTTGAATATAGACGAGTAAGGTGTAATTTTAATATGCAGCAATCAGTCAAATCCTGAAATAATAGGGACCCTACCAGAGGAATGGGCAAGGGCAACAATGCCTGCTTTGAACGCCAGATATATTGGGCGATAGTTTGGGGGGAGCCATAATCTACTTTTACCTCTGTAAACAATCCACTGCTTTTTGAGTAAAGACAGTCCATCAATATCAGTCCCGATCCAAACCCAGTTGGAATGGCCCTCGAGGGTCTGGCGCAGCTCGCCTGTACATATTGACTTGTTTGTACATACTAAAATGTTTGGAAACTTCCAAGGGACGCGGCGATCCGTTCATTTGTTTCCGGCAATAGGCCGTGAGACCGGACCCGGCAGATCGTACGACCAGGCTGGTAATTGTGGCATGCTTTCTACATACGTTTCTCCTGGCCCTTGGCTATTCGGAATATTTTTGAATGCCGTCCTGGATACTGATTGGTGGGAAGATGCAAAGTAGTATATTTTGGCGCAGTGGAAGGCCTAGTCTTATATCCAGTGCCGGGAATGTGACACGTAACCTGTTCAACGGCATTTCACCCTGCAACAGTTGCACTGCAACACCAGCCCAGTGGGACTCAAAAGGGCCAGCGTGTGTTTCCCGCAATAGGCCGTGAGACCGGACCCGGCAGATCGTACGACCAGGCTGGTAATTGTGGCATGCTTTCTACATACGTTTCTCCTGGCCCTTGGCTATTCGGAATATTTTTGAACGCTGTCCTGGATACTGATTGGTGGGAAGATGCAAAGTAGTATATTTTGGCGCAGTGGAAGGCCTAGTCTTACATCCAGTGCCGGGAATGTGACACGCAACCTGTTCAACGGCATTTCACCCTGCAACAGTTGCACTGCAACACCAGCCCAGTGGGACTCAAAAGGGCCAGCGTGTGTTTCCCGCAATAGGCCGTGAGACCGGACCCGGCAGATCGTACGACCAGGCTGGTAATTGTGGCATGCTTTCTACATACGTTTCTCCTGGCCCTTGGCTATTCGGAATATTTTTGAACGCTGTCCTGGATACTGATTGGTGGGAAGATGCAAAGTAGCATATTTTGGCGCAGTGGAAGGCCTAGTCTTACATCCAGTGCCGGGAATGTGACACGCAACCTGTTCAACGGCATTTCACCCTGCAACAGTTGCACTGCAACACCAGCCCAGTGGGACTCAAAAGGGCCAGCGTGCTGCTGTCGGTAGTCAACAATACTTTACAGTATACAGCACTTCTCTGGAGCTCTCGCCTACCATCATGGGTACTTTACTGAAACCTTATGGGTGTCGCTTCTGCAACAAGCGGTTTAAGCAGGTGGCTGCTGTCTCTGATCACCTGGCAGTGGCTCATCTCTGTTGTTGCCCCAATTGCCAAAAGAACCCCTTCCAGCTACTCGGGTCACGACAAAAAGGTTTGCAAGCAAAAAGAAAAGCATGCTGTGTACATTGCAGCATGTCTCTTGCCACAGCCTCTACGGTACAAAGACATGCCTTGAATAGTTGCTTAGTCTGCAACAAACTCTTCAGAACAGAAGCAGCGCGCGAAGCCCATCAAAAAAGCACTGGGCATGCTTTTTGCAAACTGTGCAACCGCCACTTTGACAACGATACCCAGCTGAAGCGTCATGAGAAGGATTCGCATGCTGTACAGTTTCACTGCTGTCTGTGCGACAAAGACTTTGTCAATAACACTGCTCTGGTCCAACATCTGGCAGACAAGATACATCCCATCTCAGAGGCGAGCTACCGATGTGAGGCATGTGATCGGACCTTTAGGAACCAAAGATCTCTGGAACAACATCAGCTCTCACCAGCTCATAGGCCCCTCGCAAATCTCACCTGTCTGACTAGGAGCTGCCCTGTTAGGTTCAACTGCCCATCAGCTCTGATACATCACCTGGAAAGTGGACGCTGTTCGTCGGGCTGGTCACGGCAAAGCATCAACTCCGTGCTGCACCAGTATGATATCAATCGAGTAATCACTAGTGAGACCGTGTCTCTCGAGACTTCAACGGCACATCCTCTCGAAGATAGCTCGTCTACATCGTCAGGCAGCCCCATCTTAACACCGTCTGATTCGAGCATGCTGGACGGTGATGAATGGATGGCAGTTGCCCACCCCAATGATCAAGCGGGCAAGTTGCAAGTGGCTCAGGCCGAGCTCCAAACGTCTCTACACTGTTTCTTATGTGCTGAAAAGGGAATTACGCGTGGCTTCAAATCATTGAAAGCGCTTCAGGATCACATGTCCTCACCAGCACACGAGAGTCGATCATTCAAATGTCCCCTAGCTTTTACTGTCGACGGATGGGAAGAAAGTGCTGTACATTCCCGTACTTTTACCACTCTTAGTGGTTTGACGCAACATTTGGAGAGCGCGAGATGCCGTGGAGGAAAGCCCACCCTGTGGAAGCTCTTGGATTACCTGAAAACTGACATTTTGAGAGTTGAATGGCCAGGGCGGTTGGTTCGAGATTAGTCCAGGCGTTTGTCGTGTGTCATTGCCTCGTTAAAATGTATGGGCTTTAGAGGAATGTTAACTATTTACAAGCATATTCTTACGCTCGACGTTGAAAAAAAACAACCCTCAATAATCATCATTATAGTTTCCAGTGGATTATATACAAGCTCACGTTGGTCGGCTAACGATATGCCATGATGTGGAGCGAGATTCTTGACTGATGACCGAGAACGACAACGAGGGGCAATCAAAGTGATAGTGTAATTATGGTACAATACAGAACATTAACATCCGGGTAGCTTTGGTTTGGGTCTGTTTCGCATCAGTTTCTAAAAATATGTAAGTTGCAGTCCTATCCAAATACGGTATAGCTGGTGATTAGTGCTCTTGGCATTAGGGCTTGGGAATAAACTTCCGTTTTCGCAGGGGTGAATGAGGTTTCGAATTTGACTGTATGATTGGCGAGGCCGAAACGTACCCTAAGACCACCGACTTACTATGCTCGAGACTAAGAGATTAATACCGAGCAGAGAAACAAGCGCTTCCAGTGGAAGAAGAAGACCCGGGCCAAACCAGTAGCCCAGCATGATACGGTGACTTCAAATAACTCCTTAACAGAAAGCAAGGACCTGGACGCCGCCATACTTATTAAAGAGCTTATCAAACTCAGGAAAGAGATCAGACGGCAAGATAAACTATATAAAGAAGAGCTTTAGAAAGTTAAAGAAGAATTTAGTGCCGCACTCGCAGAAGTTCGACACGAGCTGCAGACCCTGACAGATAGACCCCCGATACTATAATCTGAGGCATGCTCTCAAAACAGTCATGATAAGATCCTCCGCGAAATTTAATCCCTGCGCATTATAATCAGTCCTTCAGACCCCACAAGGTCCCTGTTTTATGCAGATATCGCCCGCACCCCTCTAACCAGTCACCCGAGCAACATATGGACTCTCTCAACGTCAAACACAACACCGACCGCCTTTACCGATATATTATATTGCACAATAGACACTTTAAGGATAACAGACGATAAATATGAGAGGATATCCGCAGGCCTAATACAGGCGGCAGTTAAGATAGAAATTCAGATAATAAAAAACTATATATACTGGTGCTGTCGCGCTGTCACAGTAGATCTGAAAAATATAAACTAGATTAGAATAATATACCGCGACAAAACTGAACACTAGCTGGTTAAAAAAGTAGTAAAAACAAAGGTCGGCGCGGGAGCCCGGGTGCTCTGTGATAAGCTTTATTTGATTAAAGTTAATAGCATCAATAAGGCCGCAGTACTCCATAAAAATAGGAATATCCGGGTAGAGGCCGCAGCAGCCTTCAGCGAGGAGAATAAAGCTAATATTACTAAGATTGTGTGGCTTAGCAGAAAGGAGAGTGCAAAGGTCTATAAGTTAATGGTGGTTTACCTAATAAAAGGTGCTGATGCGCAAAGACTTCTGGTCGACAGGTTCTTTTATGCCAGAGGGGAATCCGGTGTGACCAGAGTCTTTAAATACTAATTACAACCGATATAATACTATAATTATCAGGAGGTTGGCTATAAAGTATTCTAGTGTAAGAATATCCAGAGATGTGTAAAATGCGCCGCGGAAGGCTATTATTATAGTAATTATAATTAAATAGTTCTAAAGTATATTCCATACGGAGGCTCTTATAAATTATATAGTAAAAATTGTTAGAGGCTCTATCTATCATATTATAAATAAAACTCTCCGAGTAATTCAACTGAACATGAGGAAACAGGATATAGTGTATAAGAACTTAATAAATAACGAAGAAACCCAGAACACAGTAGTATTAGTGATTTAGGAATTCTAAGTAAGGAGAATTCAAGGCTGGCTCTTAACTACCCTGATAGGACATTATAAATAGATAAAAATGGTACCTTCTATCTAAAAAAAAGACAGATAGGCGATCCGAAGTATACTCTGGATTAATAAAGATATAAAGGCAGAATAAGTAATAATAGAATCCCCGGACCTGACAGCAGCAGTTATCTGGTTTCCCGGGCAACTGGTCTTTATGGTATTAGTTTATATAGAGGGAGGGAAGGCCTCAGCACTAGACAATGTATGTAATTATTTAAGAAAGATAATCACGAAAGTACAGTAAGACACGGGCACTGTGGTAGAGCTCATGATTATAGGGGATTTTAACCGACATGACTAACTCTGGGGAGGAGATGATATATTGCTAATAAGATAAGATAAAGCGGATCTAATTATTAATCTTATAAATAAATATTCTTTTAGCAGTTTACTTAAATAAGGCACAAAGACATGGCATGGTAAAAGATAGAGTAGGAACTGCGAGTCTATAATTAATCTTATCCTGGCCTCGGAAAACCTGGCAGACTTGGTAATTAAGTATATAATATATAAGACAGACTATAACTCGGATTATTATACTATTAAAACTGTATTTAATATCTTATGGCTAATCCTAAAGTATCAGGAACAGCTATTACTGAAAAACACGCTATAAAAAAAGATTAATACTAGAATCACGAGCACCCTAGCTACTACTCTGTCAGAAGGTATAATACAGTAGAAAACTAATTAACTAATATCTGCGGTCTCAGAAGCAGTACATACTTTAATATTAAAAGTAAGACTATTGCCACACGCGAGGAGATAGTAAATAACTGATCTTATATAATTCTGCTAAATATACATTTACTGGCGAAATTATACCCGGTCTGAGTGACAGGTAAGGCAAAAAATACTATATTTAAAAAAGACGGCCTAAAGTATAGTAAAATAGTACTATGACGCCATCCGAAAACAGAAGAAAAAGTACTAGAATAAATTTTTTACAGATAATAATAATATCTGGAAAGCTGCTAAATACCTAAAATTAAGAGAGAATACAGTATTCAGGAAGGTCCCGTAGCTCCTAAGAGTAGATAAAAGTATAACCACTAATTATACGGAGTAAGTAAAAGAATTATTAACTAAATTCTTTCTGCCTCTGCCAGAAAATATTGTTGATAAAGAAACTAGATCTGAGAAAACACCGGTAGAGATACCCGCCATCATAATAGAAGAGGTAGAGCGGTAACTGTTAGTAGTAAAGTTGTGGAAGGCGCCTGGCGAAGATAGCCTACTAGTAATAATCTGGAAGATAACATAGTCTATAATTAAGCATAGGGTCCTTGATTTATTCTAATCCTTGCTAGAAGAAGGTATATTGCCAAGATAGTGGAGACACGCGAAGATTATACTGCTTAAAAAACCAAATAAAGAGAACTATATAATTGCTAAGGCATAGAGGCTGATCTTACTCCTAGTAATACTAGAAAAGATACTAGAATCAGTAGTTGCAGAAAGAATCTTATATATAGTAGAGACTTATAGGTTGCTCCTGACCAGCCACTTTGGAGCCTGAAAGCAATAATCCGCGGAATAAGCACTTGTGCTCCTGTAAAAACAAATCTATACAGCATAGCGCGGCTAATAGGTGTTAAGCCTGATCAGCTTTAATGTTAAAGGAGCCTATAACAGAGTGTGCAAAGAATAATTAATTTAGAGGATAAAAGCCCGAGGTATACTGGAGATCCTATTTTAATAGGTTGAGGCGTTCTACTCGGAATAAACAGTAAATATCTAAATTAATAGACAGTTATCTAAGGTCTAAAGTCTGTTACAGGCCGGACTGCTATAAAGCTTATTCTTTTCCCTGATTCTGTTCCTTTTCTTTAATATAGACCTTATTTAATGACAGATTAACAGCTAGGGCGGAGTGATTACTTTTATGGATAATTTTACCGCATGGGTAACCGGGCTAATTACATGGAGTAACCGGGAAGGTATTAAAATAATTATTAATAAAGTACTTGACTGGGAAAAGAAGAGCAGAGCGACTTTTGAAGCAGATAAGACAGCTATTATATATTTTATTTTTAAGGCGCACAAAATAGACCAGGATCCTTTTATTATTAAAAGATAAATTATTAAGCCTAAAAACCATATTAAGATCCTGGAAGTCCTGATAAACACGAGACTTAAGTATAAAAAATATATTATAAGGGCAGCGTCTAAGGGCCTGGAGGTAGTAATAAAGCTTTAATAATTTTAAGGTCTAACCCCCGTAATAGCGCGGCAGCTTTTTATATTAACAGTGGCCCCGGTAGTAGATTACACGTCTAATGTCTAGATGCACGCGTGCAAGGATAAGGCCATCAGGCTAATCAACCGAGTCTAAAGGGTAGGAGCGCAGGCCATTATAGGAATATTTTTTATGGTTGTGACTAGTGTAGCAGAGGCGGAGGCCCACATTATTACTATATAATTGTGATTCTGGAGACGGGCTGTGAAAATATAAATAGATATCTATATTCTACTAGAGACTAATTCCCTCTGCAGGAATATAGCGCGGATTAAAAAATTTAGGAGGTTCTATTGCTCACTGTTATATTATATAGCGGACGCGCTGAAGAATAATAAGATGAAAACACTTAAAATTATTAATCTGTTTATATTATTACTATGGGAGGCACGCGTGCAGGCTGATATATAAGTAATCCTGGAGTCATAGACTGAACTAGGCAGATTAATACAAATCGCGGTTAGTAGTTCGGTATAAAACGCGGTGGTAAAATTTAGGGTGGCAACCGAGAAACAGCTGCCTCAGTATTAAAAACTAAAACTAAAGACCTTTTCTATTATATTAAATATAAGAGTAAAGTAAAATCTATTCTCTGCGGAGCTAGCAGTAATAATATATATATTAAATATAGTAATAGGATTAAAAGCTTATAAGATTATACTGCTTACAAACAACAAAGCGGTAGCTTTAATATTAAGAAAACCCTAATAATAGTCAGGCCAAGAATTTGTCTGCTAACTGTACAGATTAATAAGAAGACTGCGGAGATATGGAAACCAGATTAATATCTGTTAGATCCCTACTAACAAAAACAATAAACTGCTAGGTCTGGCCAAAGAGCAGGCTAGAGCTATAATATAAAAAGATGCTGTCCCGCAAGAATAGGCCCCCAGGATAAAGTTAATTATACTAAAAATCATATATTCCTAAGCAGTCCTCAGAAATGGCCTGCCAAAGAATATAAGAAGATATGCGAAATAAGTAAATATAGTACTCCCAGGCAAACACACCCGGCAGCTGTATGACCGGTTATTATGGAAAAAAGTAAGCATGCTAGCTTAACTCTGAACTAGTATAGCAAGATTAAATAAATATCTTTATTAAATTAATATATTACAGACGGACCAGTGTGCCTGTGGACAAGCAAGTAAAATAGTTAAGTACTTCCTCTTTTAATGTCGGAAGTGGACCGCATAACGGACGGAAATGCTATAATATACTTATACCCACTGAGGGAACATATTCTTTTTTTTAGGCAGAAAATCCCCTTTTAATAATCAGGGCTGGTTACTGAATCTAAAAGCAGTATAAGCTTTAATATAATTTGTAATCGTTACAGGCTGACTCGAAGCTATTTAACTATTTTAGCTAATACTAATGATACCCTCCCTAAACTAACCTATAACAATCATCTTGTGCCAGAGACGGTAGATGTGCTTTAATTGCTGAGAATAAGATATTAAACACTTGAAGAAGCGCCTTTAAGCTAGTCTATCAACTAAATTACTAACCTATAAGGACCGCGATGATACTGACTGCTGATATGACATAAAATGAGTATAGTTATGCATGGGCTTCGAGGAGACAAGGCATATATATTTGGACATGTATAATAGTTCAGTGATAGTTGCCCTTTCGGTTCAGCCGCTGGGCGTTCAATAAATTGTGTGTGTACATTACTCTACAGACTCGCCCCGATACCTCATTTAAAACCGGACAACTCATGCGATTCGCCTCGAACCCCGATAACTCGCATATGAGAGACCTGATCTACCTCCTCCGATTCTTCTGATTAACGATTGATCACGGCATTGTTTTCCGCTCACGAATTGAAGATAAAGAGGCAGAAGTGGTGGAACAATTGGGAACTGTGGAAGGATACGTGGATGCGGATTTCGCTGGCGATCTCGATACACGGAGAACTACTACTGGCTTTATCTTTATTCTGGCCGGCGGACCCATCTCCTGGACCTCGAAGCTGTAGACCACAGTGAGCTTATCGACTTGTGAAGCTGAATACACTGCGGTCAGTATAGCGGGCAGAGAAGCGATTTGGATTATTCAGATGCTTGAATCGATTGGCTTCAGTTATGTGAGGCCAATGATCATCTACACTGACTCGGAACCCGCTTTGAAACTCGCGAAGAACGCCCAGATGCATGCCCGAAGCAAACACATTCATATTCGAACCCACTGGATCCGCGAAGCGATTCAGCACGGCGATATTGAACTTCAGCATTTGACTACGGACAGAATGATCGCGGATACGGATACATTGACAAAGGCGCTCCCGCGCTTCAAATTTGAGCAACACGCTAAAGCAATGGGTGTTGAATGATTACAGCAGAAACGGAACGCCTAGATAGAACACTTTGGCTTCAAGATGACCGTCATCTTGAGGGGGTGTGTGGAAGATCCCGGTATCTTTACTAAGCATACCGGATCGTTCCTCCAAGGTGAGGTCATCCGCAGCGGTTTGCCGGAGATCTCCCATTGATGTATGAGGCCCCCAGCGAGATTGAAGGTATAAAAGGGGTCCTTCAGTGTATCTAGACTTCAGAAATTGAACATTTTATTTAAGACGAATACGACATCTTACCTTTTAATTCTTACAGATTCTTCCAAGAAAGATAACCATGCATCCGCAAAGATATTCAATATTTCTTTTTTTATACAGCAGGTGCAAAGGCATGCGGCATAATCTATTACTTCCAAGTCGATTTACTTCTTTGCGCTATACACTGTATTAATTTCTGCCTTCTTTTACCGCTAGTGGTCTACATAGCATGGTTACTCTGTGTCATAATATAATTAACAGAAAAATAACAGAAAGATAAAGAACACGACTCTTTTAGGATTTTTACCTTTAATCCATACTAGAAATAATAACAGACAGATACCTAGCATACCACTAGTTATCTCAAGCATACTTTATACATATTAATATCATATATATAGTATAAAAAGCGGGGACATACACAAGTATAGTTATTTAAGACAGATTCTATGTAATATTAGCATCTGTGAAAAATATTACAGTCTTCCCCAGTTGTACAAACCCTAAGATACACGCACTAATTAATATTAGTTATATCCCTAGTCTCACAGGGGGGAGCTTATAAAATTCTAAGACTAAATATTACTATAGCTTTAAGTCTCTGACGCAGCAGGATGTTCAAGCACTAAAAATAAGGTAAAGGCAGGACTAGAGCATAGATATCTGCGGCCGAGCTTATAGCTACAGTAACCCATAGAAGAACAGTTGTATTTATATAATGACCGGAAGCATGTGTCCAAAGAATTCCAGATATATATAATAGAATAATAATAATAAACAGTCCTGTAGTTGCACAACAAGTGAAGATAATACCGAAGATAATTATAAATCTTGATAAAACATAAAGCGAGAAATAATTATAGTAGAAAAGTAGAACAGAAAGCTTAACTATAGCTATAAGCATAATATAGAAAAGTTGAGAAATATTCATTAGCTATAAAAGATTATAATTTAGTATCGCCAAGCCATATTATCCATATAAATCTTACCTTTAAAGAGAATTATATTTCTGTTTCTGCTAGTTCCTAAATATGATATCTTATTCCTGAAACATGCGCTAGATAAATTAGCAAGTTATATTATTATTAAAGTGTCCAATTACATGTACCTCTAATCACTAATACTAAATATATAATTATTAAAGCCTGCCGGAGGTTCGTCAGCCTTATAAACATTATTAAGGGTATAACATAATACATATACATAAATACAGAAGTCTGGTCAAAAAGTTAAATTATCATATAAGTTAAAGAGAGAGGCCATACAATCATCTATGCTAAAAAGAGCTCGAGTAATAATACAGCGTATATATAGACGGATAATCAAGCAAAGAAAAACAAAAACAAGACATATAATATGGATCAAAATTATCTTGTTAGTATAAGAGATCATTTTCAGGAATTAATAGAGATTCTTTCCTAAGATTAGGAGATCTCATAATAATATAATATTCTTATTGATTTCACTAGAGATACCATACCATAACCAATATCAGACCTATATAAAGACCTTATAACCAACTATATAAACCTCTTTAACAGGCTCTTATTAGCCAAGTAAAAACAGATATTTACTCTTATAAAATAAGGAGTTATGTCTTTCCTGACTGTTACACCTAAATAAAGAACTTGAAAGAGGGAAGCAGCTATAGATACTTAAACCTGAGAAATAATACCCTGAGTAAATGTCCATCAGATTTTGCTAATTTCGAATATTCTTATAACTAGAATCTAGGTATTTAATATAGTTCTAGGACTTCTATAAAGCATATAAACCACCAAAAGAAGCCACAAGCTGCATTAAAAATAATTAGCTTTTATAGACAGGTATCACAACAGAAGAACCCACAGTTAAAATTAAACTTTTTATTCCAGATTAGTCACTGCTAGTCTCCTAAAAAACCCTACCGCCCAGCCCTTTAGAGCGAATATAGTCTACCTTTAATTTAATAATGTTTGGGATATCATAACTTACTATTATACACTGAGAAAGATTATAGCTCCAGCTTACCTCTAATTTTAGATCTTCTTTAACCTCAGCCCCATCCAAAGGTAGATCCTTATAATCATAAATACCACATTCATAATAACCGGCAGGAATAAAAAAGAAGCAAGTACCCGGCCCGTCAGTCCTAGCAAACACGCGTCCGTAAAGTGGCATTCCTAAAATTATCTTATAAGCTGGAATTCCAGCCTCCAGATAGGCAGACACTACTTCGTCTGTATTAAAAGAGATATTATAGGGCTGATCAGATAACTGATATAAGCTTACAGCATAACCAGAGAATTAATCCTATAATCCAGCATAGTTATAACCCATTAGATTCTAGTAATCAAGATATTAATCCATTATAGTCAAATAAAAAATAGAATATTTAAATAGTCCAGCTGGAGAGGCAACTGTTAAGAAATAAGATCTATTACTGTCTTTCTGGCTTTTGATCTCCTAGATTCAATATTAGGTCTTTATATATCACACCGGTTCAGAGACTTACAGATCGGACCTCATAAAAAAAAGATACCATATTCCGTGCTTAAGTATCATTAATAAGATACTACATGCTGTCAGCTAGAAACAACTAAAAAAAAAAGAAAATAAAATATTTATCTTTTAGTTAATATCAAGACCATTAAAACCAAGATTTTATATTAATCCCACAACAGACTTTGTAAATCTTTTCTATCTAACAGGAAAACTAACAGGGCCTTCAAAATTACTAGAGTATATCTATCTACCAATTAATAAAAGAACCTTTAAGTTCTGATTACTTTTCTTAAGCTTATAAATTTAGTTGATATATCCGTATACTCTTATAATAAAATTCGGTTTATTCTAAGAGTCTTCCCCAAAATGCTTTTAAAGATCAGACCATTTATCTACAAAAAAAACCTCTCTATTAGGGCATATATTGGCAAAAGCATAGAAAATATGCGTCAGGTTATTAATAGGGATATCCTAGGGTGTATGGTGACGGTCATAAATCGCCTGTTCTTGTTAACTACTACTAGCTTATATAAACAGGGAAGGAAGACATATACCCAGTTAGTAAAGTAGGCAGCAGAGATAAACCTGACATTTTTATTAAATAAAAAAGAACTAGCAGTAGCATAGGTTAAGCTAAGTATACTAAGCAACAGTAGTATCTATATTATAGGCCATAAATCTTTAGAAATAGACTAAAAGCGAGATATAGATATATAAAGCTATATATAAAAAGTCATGCATATATATATATAAATATAAGCGCTCAGATCTACAAGATACTTTACTTTTATTTAATATAAGCACCTTGACCACTTATTTTAGAGCTCTCTAATCTTATACTAGATATAAATATTTAAAAATAGATTCTTCTATATCTAATACTGCTCTAAGAAACCTCATCAAAATAGCTACTAAGAAATAAAATATTTGCCACCGACAATTAAATACTACCAAATCTAAATACTAGCAGCGCAGTCAACGGAAAAATCACTTATTCTGAAGAGCTTTTGAGTACTCTATAGAATATAATACAGATATATCTTTAGTTATTACTCTCAGGTATAATAGGCAGATATTCTTTTTTAACTTGAATAACTTATAGCCTCCTTCACATAAGCAGCTGGTATATTATTTTACAGGAGTCAAAAAATAATAAACTAATAGAATTATAGGCTCAACACTTCCCCAAGCCAAGAGAGATTACTTCTAATGAGATAGCTAAACAATATACATAATAAGGTTCCTGTATATAAGGAACCTTCACCACTATTATAACCAAAAGCTATATAACTAGATAGCATTACCTCAGATATATCTAAGCCTATTAACAGAAAAGTACATATATTTATTCCTTCTCAGTATCCCTGTTAAAGGCCTTTTCAAGCCTAGAAAATAGCCAGTTATTATAAATTAGAAACAGTATACTGGCCATCAGCGCAAAAAAACCGGTTACAGAAGCAGTTACTATTGTAGTTACAGATTATAGTCTAGCTTATACTGTATATATATTAATAAATATGTTAAAAAACCCTATTACTAAATTAATTAGTACCAGTCTAGTAAGATTAGTATGCCTCTTATAGAATAAATAAGTTACTTATAAGAAGAGTTTCCGAGCGAGCCATATGTAGTTTTCCCTTCTTTTATAATATAGCCAGCTTATACCACAGAGGCCCACAGCACAACATACAGCTGCAACTGCTAAAAACAAGATATTCTGTATAGTATAAAATATTAACTCTCCAATATTACTTTTGGCTGCACTGGACTTAAACAATTCAAATACTCGGAGAGAGGCAAATATACCAGGAAATACAAAATATCCTACTAAAAGAATCCAAACAAATAAAGCAGCTAGAATATTATCTAGTAATAAAATCCTTTTTATATTAAGAAACATTTTAACATAAAGATTAGATGCAATAGATTAGGATTTATTATAAACAGACCTCTTCCAGCTTGCAGGAACAGCTAAAGAAAATATCTTCACTATTTAATGCTTTTTTAGTTACTACATCTTATCAGATCGATAGATAATATAGATTCTAATAAGAACTAATCCTAGGGTCTATTATAATATATACCTCTTATACTCAGAGCTAAAATCAACAATAAGAGCAGTCTAATTATAGGTTAAGTTCCACTTAGTTTATCTAACAATTACTTATAGGATTTAAGATCTTATTAAAAAAAAAAGCAGCAGGCGCCTCTGCTCTCTTTCATATAATTAAATATTAAGCTTATATTTTATATTAAGCTTTATATCACAGTAGTGGTTTTTACTAAATTAAATTAGTTCAGTATATATAGAAAAAATAGAAGTTGATTTACTTCCAGTCCTAAGAAGAATACATATCTGTAAAAAGATTCTCAGTATCAGATAATAATACCATAAATAAGAAATAACCACAGCCGCTGACTCTTATCCCGCCTATAATCCAATCATAATCTTTAGGACACACAGGCTGTCCCTCCAGTATTAATTTAAAAACATAGCAGCATAATATAAAAGTAAACATAATATTACAGTTATTTTGAGCAGCTGCTGTAAATACTAATTTAATATCTTTTTCCTCCTTTGACTAGCTTGACTCCTCGTAATAAAAATCAGAATATATATTAGAGTTTCCTCTTATTAACCGGCTTATAATAATAGCCTCAGCAAAGTCACAAGCCCTATCTACCACAGAGCCAGCATCTTTAACCTTAAATATTAAGCCCCACAGTTTAGTATTTAGTAAAGAAGGCGCTTTTATAGCACAGAAAATACTTATAAAAAATACTATTTCCGGAGCTAGTTTATCAGAAACTTTAGTCAAGCATATCAGCTCTAATACCATAAAAACAGCTGAGGCTTTCGAGGAAATTAAGGGATTTAAAAACCTAATAACAAAAAGAATAAATAAATAAATATTAGATACAGTTAGCGGCATTATTATAGAAATAGCACTCATTTATTATCCGCCTAAAGAGCATGCCAGGTATATAAATTAATTTTAAATAAATATCTTGACATTATATTAGCTTTTTCCACAGCTACAAAAAGAATATACCCCAGTTAAAAAAATACCAGGGCCAGTAGCAGTAATTCTACCAGATATAAAAAATTAGCAGCATACTGCACATATAGAGATCTGAACTTACGATATAATATAATAGCCTTAAATCTTAAAAATACTAGACAGTAAAACTATGTCTGGAATATTATATCCTATTTTAATATCCGCAGCCTGAGCAGTTAGCACCGCTGCCAGAACAATATAAAAGAGATGGCAAATCATAAAGTTCATGGTTGTTCAAATATTAGAATAAAAATAGTAATCCATCTAGCTAAAATATAAGAGCTTATATTTATATTACTCCAAATATCAGCAGGAAAAAGCTTTCTATTCTAAAATTTATCTTTTACACTTAATATTTAAGCCAATTTCCTAAAGTTCTGATCTCTACTTATCTGCAACATAGCAGTCTCTATACGCATCCTGATATCTATTCTTGCAATAACAATCTCAGCCTCTAATGTATTAGGCAGTATTTCTATAATTAACAATTTGGAAAATGACCTGTATATCTAGTCTATTCAAAAAAGTAATAAACCACTCCATATTATCAACCCAAAATCAGTATATCACCAAGCTTCATAGTTACCAACTATTAATAACACTGGTATCTCCATCAAGATCACTACTAAAAATAATAAAAAAAACATCCTCCAGTTTGAATACAATATCTTCAAATCTATACTTTACTAGGACTTATCATATATTAACATCAGAAGCAACTATAAAATTATTTATTATAGCTTTTCTACTATACCAGATAATAAGAATTATGTAATTATTATATACAAGTCTGGAGACAAGAGCTGTCCTAATATCTATCTAGAGTCTAACAACAACCATACAGTCTGCGGCTGTCCTATAAAAACTAGTATACTATTAAAGATTAGTTTATGAAAGGTCTGCTATTAATATACAGAAAAAAAGCAGAATATATATATTATTAAAACAAGAAGGATTTAAAATTAGACTATTATATAATAGATTAACAGGGCTCCTTAAGCAGATTTATATCAAAAGACAATAATAAACTATTTTATATAATAGATTCATCGCTTGCCTCCTCTAAAAAATAATAATCCACAGGGGCTCTTATATAAAGCAAAATACTTAATAGATTTCTATCTATATCTATTAGAATGTTAGGCCTTAATTCCCTCTAAATTCTTCTAAGGATTATCTTCTTAGGGATTAATATATCTTTATATACTGTTAGGTTAAATCAATAATATCAAAGGGGAGGGCCGGAGACAGAGCAAGGAATAAAGCAAAAGATATTAAAGTCTTTATTATTAATAATATTCACAAAAATATCCTAGTAAATACCTTTATTATATATATCTAGATCATGTTAAATCTCTGCCCGGCTGGGGGCCGGCTTCCCGGCAAGGGTTAAACTAATAATCTTCTCTTCTAAGTCACTTAAGTTCTTTTTAAGCTAGTGTAACTTCTATTAGGCCAGTCTTAATCTAATTATAGAGATATTACTTTTTCTAGAAAAAATCTACAGTACTCAAAAGATGCTATATCCGGTCTTTTTATAAGTATTAGAGTACTGGGATTATAATCATAATTCACAGAAAACAGCCTTAACCATTATAAAAATATCTGCTGAACCAATACTAATTACCAGATAAAATAATTTATCAGTTTACTAAAATCTAATATTTTTAAATCCATGTTTATAAGACTAGGACTGGGCCAGCTTAATAACAAGCTTTAAGAGCTTATTACCACACTTATTTTTTATATTTATTTCTAAGTAGTACTCAGTGAGCTTCTGCTACTTATCACCCAGTGGCTAAAACTACTAGGTTAAATCAAGGATCTGCTCGGTGGTTTAAGCAGCTTTACAGTCTAAAAATATTTTTTAGGTAAATTCTAACTAATACTATGGCAGTACCAGGCGGGATAAGTCTTGTTACTCAGCTCGGAGACAGATAATCTAGATAAGCCAGTTTAAATCTAGGGCTGATATAATAATATATTTTTTATTATATTACTAGGGTAGAACCAGATTCTGTTGCTGCCAGAGTATTTTAGTAATAAAGTTACTAATTGCACGGTAAATACCGCACTAATTATAGTCCTAAATCAGGTTTACCGGTCTATTATTTATATAACATCTGTAGTAAATAATCTTGCCAGCCGAGGGTTAAACCTTAACTAGTAACTAGTGTTTAGCTTCTCTAATCAAAATCAGGGGTCAGCAGCAGTAGATATAAGTTAAAGTGTCCAGCTTATATACTCTACCTACTTACACTTTAAGTATCTCACATAAATAAACAAGCTTTTATAAGAAATAGTTAATTATCTGCTCACTTATAACTCTACTAGGGTATATAAGGTCCTTTAATATTACTCAGAGATACTGGCCGCTAAAGACCCCCTATGTATATTAAAAATAATCTATGGGCAGAATCTAATCCAGCAAAACATCATCGCCACGCATAAGGGCTAGTCCAGTGTTCTGCACTGCCTGGGTGAATAAACACACTTGGCTGGTGATATGTAAATTCCCGTCCGAGAGTTCCGAAGTAATATCTAACTGTTGAGCATGCGCTTCTGGCGTCGCTTATGCCGCTGGCGACCTGGCTAATAAAATAACTAGGAAAAGAACTAGGGGGAGAGCCAGTAAGTATAAAATTTTAGTTATTAATTATTAAAAATCAAGATCCACGCTATCAGCTAGATCGGCACTAAATTATATATAATTATCTAAAAGACCACTATCCAGCAGTTCTAGCTTTATATCCTAGAGTATATTCTGGTCGGGGAACCAGTCACTACTAGAGCCAATTTAAGGAAAGGCCGGGATGTTAAGGCTTACTACTGTAAATAACTGGGTGATAAAGAGCAAGTCTTTAATTGGCTGCGTTAGGCCAAGTGCGCTTCTAATATCTACTAGACTAAGGATATAGTCTATATCTACTGTAGAAGTATCAGGATAAAAAGGAGTATATAGGATTAAAAATATATAATTACTTAAGTTTAGTACATTGGCTTCTAAAACATTAAAGTCTATTTTTAATATAAAGAAATTAATCCCCCTAGCATGTTTAGTATTAAAGGCCTGTCTATTATTATAATTATTACTAGTCTGACTAGTAGTATCTAACAGGCTTAATCCTTTGTTATTACCAGAAGACACTGCTGGGGGGCTTTTTTTGATCATCTGAGTTGTATTAACCAGAGAGAGTAACTATTTACTCGTGTAATCAGGTTATAGTCTTCTTAAAATATCATAAAGAAATTCAGATACTATAGTAGACCGTGCGTGTTCCGTATCGGATGTCCCTATTACTGATTATATCACCCGAATGAGTTTGATCTAGATAAACTATTAGCACAGGAGCAGCCGGCCGCAAGCATATATATACCAGGGCAGTAAACACTTGAGCCCTGCTCTTATTATTTATCGGTGGCTGAGCTTCTTCCACTGCACAGTATAATACTATCTATTATAATAATTAGCAGTATATTATAAAGGCTTTAATAAATAAACTATCTTTTTATTTATTCTGCGTTAGACTTCAAGGTTATCTATATTATCAGATTTAGTACCAGAGAGGAGAGCAAAAGATCAGAGAAATTCCTTATTATAATTATAATCTTTACAAGTAATATAAATTTATTATATAGATCAGGCGAATAAAGAAGCTTTGTTTTTTAGCTTCTAGAACCTCTGAGCCTGGTCCTCTGTTATATTTTATTTTACTAACGCAGAAAAGACAGGTTAAAACAATTATTTTTAAACCTTGAATAGTAGCTTAACCCTAGGCAAGATTAAAACCCTGTGGAGCAGAAATCATATATATTATTTTACTAGGTCGGTAATTTCCACCTAATA